GTTTGATGTTCGCGCAGAGGCCTCTGCTCCGGCAATTCTGCACAAAGACTCTCAGCAGGCTCAGTTGACAACCTCAGAAAGGCCCCAGAAGGCAAACCAATACGGTCGTTATGCACGAAAAACCGCACAATGTCACCATAGTGGAACCTTGCAACAGCACGCCTGGGTGGTTCACATCTGTGTCCCATTTCCAGAATCTCGCAAATCAGAGCTGCAGTACACCCCGGCGGGCATTGGATGGCGATCGTCTCAAGCACTCCTGACAATTCGCTCTGTACCACGAGCGGCAAGGAGTCCTCGGCTGCAGTCTCATCGGTAAAAGCCAGGACCACAACATCATGTTCTCCTCGACCATTGCCTGCAATTTCAACCATCAAGGGCTGTGGGAACACTTGCACAAATTGCACTTCCCTATAACCTTCATCTTCGAAAGGCGAAAGCAGCTGCGTTGACCAAAGGCCAGTGCGTCTCATCCACACTGTAAAAGGCGAACCTAATACTTGTCCATATCGGGAAAATCCCCAGCCCATGATTTTCTTCTCCCAGACACCATTCTCGCGGGATCGGAAGTGCTCATAGACCAGGTCAATCCGAGACTCGTGCCAAATAGCTGTCAAATCTTTCCTGGTCAGTCGCAATACCTTAAGGTACGGCAAGCCTCTTTCACAAGCAACTGCAAAGGGCACAAACGGTGCCGATACAACTGTTCGTTGCATAGTGCAGAATGCCTCTTCGTCATCGGCAAAATCGCTATCTTGCTGCAGATAAGCTTGGTCACTGCTGGCCCCCTCAAGGCCTGCCTGCCCACCATTTGGGGTTTCATCTTGGAGTTCTTGGTTTGCAGGAGACAAACCATGCTCACTAGATGCTGATTCAGCTGTCATCAGGCCTTCAGAGGTGCCCACACTAGTTTCGTTCGGATCAAATACAGGAGGCGCAGCTTGGCGCTGTGCCTGTTGCCTCTCGAAAAATGTGAGCGAAATTCCAGAGTAGAGTGGCACACTCTGCTCCCATCGGTATACTCGCTGACCTATGACTATCAAACACTCAGACGCCCACACACATGGTACGTGCGGCAATCTCGCAGCGAAAAGCTCATACACAAAAGGAAAGCGATTGGTTTGATACATAAAGGTGCCTTGCCAATACTCAGTCAAAGTGGCAACTGTGGCAAGGGCCCCAACCCAGGTCTCAGGACAAACAGGCAAAAGCAGGAACGAAGCACCTTGGTCTGGCGGCCTCACAGGGAATAGGAGGGCTTGCTGTCGGATCTGAAAATCCCTCCAGAACGAAAGGATCTGCAGCCTCACAGGCTGGTTCAGGGCAATGACATGCCTTCGGGATACGAAAGACCATGTCTCCCTTCGGTCCCAAGTGTGCAACCAGACTGAGATCGTTACCTCCCCCAACCCCAGGCTGTTGAGGACATAGTCCAGTTCCGGATCTATCCTGGGAGCAAGTCCTTGCCTTTGCATCAAACTATGCTCTTCACTATCAGTTTGTGCCTTGGACTGCCTAGGTACGGATGTCAGCAGGACCAACAGTGCTCCATTTCGCAGCACCTCCGACCTTGGTCGCGAGAGCGAAAAATGCTCAGCTGGCTCAACAATGTTGGTTTTTCGAATTGATCCAACCAAGTCAAACCGAGAGAGCATGCACGAAAAGTATCTCATGCTCACTGCATCCGAATGTCCTGATTGTTTAACAATCAGAGATGGCAGTTCACCAAAAGGTGAAGGAACATACAGGATGAAATGGAGTTGGCTCCTATCCGCATCGAAATCCCGAGGCTGGGGTCGTACGATCGTATATTCGCAAATTGAGACCTCACATCGATCTTTCCAGAGCTCATTAAAGGCAATTTGCAGCCCTAACAATTCATTAGCTGGGAGCACCAAGGAACGAGGCTTCGTCTGGCAATCTCCTCTAGCGGCAAACCAGACTTGGTAAATCTGGTTTCGCATTTGATCATGTGGCTGCTCATAGCAACTAAGGCTCGGGCCGTTCCAGACTTGAACTGAGTTCTGAACTAAGCTGAGGTCCAATTGTCCTGAATCAAGGACATTAGTTAGGAAGTCTCCACTAACAGGCATTAGTGCACTTGTCGCAACATCTGCCCCAAAACGTGGTAATAGGTCATGCTCAGCACCGCCCTCGTACTGGTTGTCGAAGCGTGCACAGGATCGAGAAGAAAGCTCCACAGACTGGTTGTCAGCCATACAAGGAGGAACGGGCATCTCTCCACAAAATCGGGAGCACCTCTCTCGGTCCCGGAGGCTTGAAGACCATCCTTGAAAGGTCATTATTGAAACAGCCGAATCAAGCCAAATCGTCTGTTCATCTTCTGCACCAGAGACTTGGGGCTCTTCATGGCTCAGAGCTCCCTGACTAGCTCTAGCACCAATTGAAGCACATTCGGCACCGCTGATCAAAATGAGGAGCCAAATCGCGCGCCACTGGCAAAATTTCCGTGCTTCCTTCCTAGGAAAGCACCTTTTTCCTGCAAGAAATTTGCAAGCTGCAGGGGCTGGTCTTGGCAGGCTTCTTTCTTCCCTACATCTACCCAAGACACCACCTATTCCGCAAAGCAAGGCGAATGCGTTTGCATAGAAAAGACCCAGAATAGCTTGGACCCCTCCAAACCTACTGAATCCATGTTCATCATCTCCAGCTCTTTCGAGAATCATGCCATTACAAAAGAGTGCAATGGCTTGCCAGGCCAGGAAAGCATAGTATCTCTCTATGCTGGGCCAGACATGCATTCGCCGCATTGATTGTCTGGAAGCCAAAAGATCACGAAGCACAATCAGGAACTTCTCAAAGGCTTCAAGAAGTGCAAAGGCCCAGATTGCAAGAAAGCCGTCAACCCCACACTTTGGAATAGATCAAGGAAAATACCAGCATCCCACCAAAACGGGATCCAGCGATCGTCTCCAAAGTCACAACAGCTACTCTCAGTCTGGGAAAAATTCACATGGTCCTCTTCGAAAGAACCAAATAGGATTGGCCAGGGAAGCAACAACTCATCGGGTAGAATCTGCTGTGCATTTCCAGACAAACCAGATATCTCGTTGTCAAATTCCCAAGAAGAAGGGTGGGTTTCAAATGACCCGTGACGATTGCTTACCACACAAATGGAACCTCCAAGATTGGGTAAGACACTAATAATCCACATAGAAAAGGATGAACCAAATCTAAAATCGCCAAGGGGCTTGCAGCAGCCTTGAAAGATGCCGCTGCTTGATCCCCTAATGGCCATTCCATCTAGGACATCAAGTCCATACTTGCCCTTACACTGCCATCTGGAGTCTTCGCAGTGTCCTTGGGCAAGCGGCCAGGGGTGGCATATGGACCCATCTTGTCCTTCCCATTGAAACGCCGAAATGGCCTGCATGGATGCTCCAGCGTAGGAAGGGCTGCTCCCAGTCCATCCCCTGGTTCGCAACTCGTTGATTCGGCCGTCGCAACCAGCACAGGATCCACATCTCTCTTGGTCCCCTGCATGGTCTCCTTCACATCTTGGATGAGCTGGAGAGCAGACGACCATGTCACAAACTCTGTCGGCTTCTCGGTAATCACCTGCAGAACGCGCTGCTGGCATACTTCTGGAAGCTGTGTGATCTCTGACTGGAGCTCTTCGAAGCTGTACTGGAGCCCTTCTTTCGACATCGACAAGCGAGCCCTCTTGCTGGGAGTTCGAGACCTTCCTCTCCTTTCTGGGCTGGGAGTTCCACTCTCTCTCTTGACCTCCGCTCCGATTGTCTTGGGAGGCTTCACTTCTTGCTTGGGCGAAGTGACAGGAATCTCTCCCGCCAGTCGCGAGCCTTGGACAGCACCCAAAAGCTGCGCCATCTGAATTTGCATAGCCTCGAACATGCGGGCATTGCGTGTCTCCATCTGGGTGGCATACTCCGTATAGTCCCGGAATTGACTCTTGATCATCTTCAATTCCTTCTTGAGCATGCTTGCTTCTTGGCGGAGCTCGTCTTCGTCGGACTCGATCTCGAGTGTCTCGGGGTCTGCTTCTCCACTGTTCACCTTCTCGAGCCGCTTCAGCTCTGCTTGCAGCTCGGCCATAACCCCACTGTGTCGCTTCTCTTCTTGTCGAACTCCGCCATTGACCGACTCTCTCCAAGCTTGGAATTTTTGGTCTTTCCGTGTGATCTCTTCTTTCACCTTGCAAAGCCTGTTGAGCGCTTTGCGCTCCAAGTTCAACTCTCTCTGCTTTGCCTTCAAGGTCTCCCTGGGGTCTTCTTGAACCAAGTCGATCACCTCTTTCGGGACTTCTTTCATCGCATCTTTGGCCATCATGTTCCTCATGGTCTCCTTTAGCTTCTGGTTCTCTTCCTTGAGCTGCGCTTCTTGCGATCCATAAGACCAGCCATGCCCATAGGACCCACCATCTCCTTCGACTTCGATGCGACGACCATCGTACCCGATCAGGAAGGTCTTGCCGTCCTTGGTGTTCTTGTTGTCTTTTCGACCCTTCGGCACATTCCATTGGGATTGGTCCCAATACCAATCCTGTCCTTTCTTCCATGGCATGATATAGTAGGGCCGACTATGATGCTTCTCCAAAAGTTCTTTGGCAGCAAGGGCCTTTCCAACACGGCCAGGAGTAGGATGTTTCTGAAAGGCCTTAATCGCCCTTCGAGCAGCGGATCGCTTACGGCGTGCACGCCGGTGCCAGCTCGGGCTGTTGGCGATCCCTATGGCTCAGAAAAGGGCAAAGGCTGTCGTGCGTGTTCGCACTGGGGCTTCGATCTTTCCTATTGATATACTCGAGCCCTATCGACCTAATCCTAAGAACAAAAAGCTACCTCCTCCGTTCGTAGCGTTCTTGCTCCGTTCGTAGCGATGCCCTTTGCTCCGAACGTAGCTTCTTGTTACTAGTAGTAAGGCCAGGAGCCCCTGGTAGCGTCCTTGCTCCTAGTAGCGATGCCCTTTTGTTACTGTCTAAAAAGATCTGAAAGAATTGAAACATCGTTTTGTCAAGGCACAATCTCTTGCCCGCTATCTCCATCAAGGAGCCTAAAGAATGTCCACACCTCAGTTGTGTACAGTGTATGTACAAACTGTATATTAAATAATGTATATATACATATATACATATTATGTTGCCTTTCTCCGCTATATGAGCTGAAGCACATCATCTATACTAAGTTCTAAAGCTTCGAAATACGTCTTCACGTCAGGATCCTCACACTCACAACATCAAAAATTGGCATCTGAAATCTGCTTGGCACACATTGACTGCCTCCATGCGCTCTTCAAGTTCCACCAAAGTTATGAAACCTCCACAAAACTCCGGATTTCAAGCACTAGTGGCGCGAGTCACTCAAAGTTTGGCCTGTATCATCCTGGTCCAACATGTGGAAGAGATGGCTAAACTTTCCTCAGATCCCATGTTTTTTCTAGATGGCCCGATGGCCGTTCGTGGTACAAAGGATTGTAGCACACATGAAGTGAACACGGCGCACCACTTGCAGGCCGAGGTCTCATGAAGGCGCGATTGTCTTGCATTACGTTCTGCATCGCCTGATGTTCTCAGTTTGCATGCTCGAAAGGTAAACAAATACACTTGACAAGCAAAACAAAAAGCACATGATAAACAAAAAACATCTGTATTGATTCCTTTTCTATTGTGGTCGTCATGCATTTGGGACAATCACGGTGACAAACAAATAGTGAATCCCTTCCGCGGACCAACGTATTCTAGATCGACAAAAACCATTTCGGACATGTCAAAACGTGTTCGGAACTGCTTCTCTTGCAACGTTTCAGCGGGCGAAGCAGCGACCATCCGTTTCTAGCCAGGCAAGCAGCCATGTCGTGATCCCGCGCTGCGCCTAAGACTTGCGAAATCGGCGATACGACTTGGAGATACATGAGGAACTGCGTCAAAGTTGCTTTCTATAGCAGATTGGCAGAAGACCCCGGTCATGACCTGGCTTGCGACTTTTTTGGTTTTGATACAAGAGGTAATCAAAGGAGGCACCGACAGGCCAAGGCTTTGGCATTTAACACAGCAAAGGTTGTAAAGCTGATGTACGCAAAGAACACAACCTGGCATCAAAGCAAAGCAAAGGGCGCGCTTGGCAGTTGAACAAGACGCACAAACCGCCCCGCCTTCCATGCCTTGGATGTCACGACAAGCCAACACAAACTCACATAGGCCTACACCTCTGCAGTTGTTCCTAGTAGCTTCTTGTTTCTAATAGCTTTGACACGAGTGCCAGTGGTAGGGAGTGGTCACTTTTGAAACGGAGCGGGCATGGCAACTACAGTAGGCGGAATCGCCGAAGCTTGAGTGCCGGCGAACAACCACAGCTTGATCAACCCTCATGAACAGACAGGAGGTCGCTTTCACTCAGCTCCCCCCCAATCTTTGTTGATCAAGCTTGCTAAGAGAACGAGTTCCTCTCGAAAGGAGCTGGAAGCTCTTTTAGAGCGCAGCTTGGAGGATGGGCATTGTCGTCTCCTCTCGAGCTCTGCTTCTTCGTCCCACAAACTCAACCGTGAGGAGCGAAGTGTCTCTTCCAAGGCGCCGTTGCTGCGACTAATGTCTTCCTTGGTGAGAGTGTCAGCAACCATTCGAGGGTGTGGAGACCACCTAACCACCGACCTTGCTCGCGTCAATGCTTCTAAAATGATGGCCAACTCCACTGCCGTCCGTCGATTTTGACGAGAAGAGGCGTACAGCGATTTGGCATCAGTGATGTTGCATTGCTCCAGTCTGCCCTTGAGTTCACCTTGGCCGTTTAACACCGCCAAGTATGGCTGCACTTGCTCGCGCCAAGAGCAACCATTCAATCTCTGTGAGAGCTTGTGAAAAGGCTAGAGCTTCACTGGCCAACGTAGACGAAACTCTTCTCTTCAACTTAGTCGATCTCCATGACACCGTAGAGACCTTGACTTTTCTGGAAGCATTTGGCAGCTGATCTGAGATGAAGATTACCCAGGCCCCCTGGACTGTGTCCGTCAGTTCGAGGTCGTCTGGTACAGGAGGTTTACTGGCCACACCTCCTGCATCCGAAGCTGAAATGAAAATCATTTTCTCATTGTCGAAATTGTGAAGCACCAATGGTTGGGAAGCCGTGCCTTTAATGCGTTGTACCATTCTGTTCAAAAAACCCAAGTCATAAACTGATGCTCTATTCAGTCTGGAGGACAGGATGCTCACTGTGCCTGCTGCCTCTGGTCTGGTTGGATGCGCCAGCCAGTTTACTCTGTACAGCATGGATCTGTACTGCTCGAAAACGTCACCTTGGAGAAGATCTTCTTTGTTGCCTAGTTGACCTCGAGGGGGTTTGATCACTTGCAGTTTCTCCAAAATATACTTTTGTTGGTCCATCAACACTCCGTCTTTCTCAAATCGGACGCGTCGACCGGCAAAATCGGCTTCTCCAAACTCCCATTTTCCAAAGCGAAACCGTTCAGTCAGCTTCTTTTGCAGGAATTCGAAGTATTTTGGGTTGGCTGCTATGTTCAAGTCGTCTACCTCTATTAGAACAAAGGCAACTATCGCTCCATGCTCCTCCTTGATGAGCCAACAAGACTCCAACAAAGAAGGTCGAAAGCCCAGCTTGCCGAAAAACTCTTGGAGGGTCTCACGCCAAAGCCACGGTGCGTCGTCGAGCCCGTATATTGGAGCAATGATCTCAATGAGTGCTCCTTCAGGTAGAGTTAATCCAGAGCAAGGTTCAGCAAACAGCCTGCCTTGTGGCCGATGCAAAGGCTTTGACTGGCAAAAAGCTGATTGCACATCCGCAAAGGAGATCCTGAAACCCAAGTTCAGCACTAATTGAAAAAACAAGTTAATGGCCTCAGCGCTGGGCATTGGTGCAAATGTCTTGAAGCTACCACTATCTGGATCATGATGGCCGTGCAAGCACCAACGACTTTTGTATTTCCAATTGCCGACCCCTGGCATGGGTTTCTTCCGTCTGATGATTCGTGAGCTCAAAATTCGATCACGAAATTGTCGTCGAAGATTGTTGGCCTCTTCCCCGACAATCACCTTGGCGGCCTTCAGTGATGGTTTTACACTCCAAATTGTCAGAGACCTTAAACCCATCTATTTCCTCCGGGGTCGCATTCTTCATGTCGAACTCAGAGTTCTTCGGGTTGATGGGTTTAACCATGAGTGAAATTTCTGGCTCGCGCACAGTCTCTAAACAGAAAAGGTTCTCTTCTCCCGGTTCGGTTGGAGTGTAGTCCGTTGAGGTCTCTGTCGGCATGGGAACTCTCAACAAGGGCTGATCTATGGACGCTGATGAGGTTGAGCCCTCCCTTCTCGCACGGAGTCGGTCCAGTCTGTCTAACCTTTGCAGTTCTTTCTCAGCGATCCTCTGCAACCGCTGTGTTTCTCGATCTTCGACCTCCGCCACTCTCTGGCTGACCGACTGGCCATCTGATGATTGGCTTGTGGTCGAAAGTCTTCTACGCTTGTCTGCGGGGGTTTCTGGATTGGGCTCACCACCTGGTTCGTCGAGAGTGCTGTTGGTTCTGCTGGTTCTGGAGGAGATGATGGCTCGAGCTCCCCCTTCTGCTTCGGGGAAAGGAGTGTTGGGTCTCAGCAAGTGTCCAACTCCTGTCGAGTCTACTGCTCGGTCTTCTGGGATTGTAGGCAGGGGAGGCATTCACTGATCATGGGAATGCTCTGCGATGGGTCTGGCGCTCCCTGCTCCATCGCATCTGGTGGGGGGGGCCTCGCCAGCGACATCTATGGCTCCAATCTTGGCCCGGTGGCCGGCCTGGAGCAGTCCTTGAAGTTCACCTGCTCGAGCCAGCTCGGCCCCCACCGATTCCAAGTGAGTAGCTGGTCTGAGTTGGTCGCTGTTGCACTTCCACAGTCTAGCTCTCATGGAAACATATACAGTGTGACCTGCCTGCAAGACCACCACACCAGGACCAACCCATCTTGACCTGGTGATGTGACCACCACTACCTGATTGCGCAGATCGTCTCCAAACTAAGGCCCACTGTCCAATAGCCCATTGAGTTTGCTTGCGAGGTCGATGTGATGAGCCTAAGCGAACCTTCTCGCTTGAAGTAAACTGAACGCAGAGTTTGCGGGCTTTTTGTCGAAGCTTCTGAGCCCGAGCGAATTCGGCCCCAGCTGTGTCCAAATCATAGGCGTCAGCCACAACGTCCTGCCAAGGTACTTCATTCAAGTCTTCTGGAGAACTGACTATGCTGTTGCCGGAGGATAGCTCATCTTCTGCCTTCTCCTTTAACCATCCCCCGTGGCGTTCCACCCGCCCGTTCTGCCACGGGGAGGCCGCATCACTAATCACCTGTAGAATCCCATATTGTTCCAGGTGCCGTTCGAAGCAGTCCTTAAACTCTGAGCCCCCATCTGACAAAACAACCTCTGGATTGCCAAAGGGCTTCAACCAAGCTGCTAAAAAGGCTTGCCACACACTACGAGAGGAAGGAGTTCCAGCGTCATACCTTTGCAACCATTGTATTTGCTGAAAATTGGCGCCGTGACAAATGACGTTCAAATAAGCCAGTGTCTTGCCTTGCAGTGCTATGTAAAAAATGACCACGTCAATGTATCGGTTGAAGGAAAAGGTGCGAGGCATGGTCGCCTTGCGACGCTCGATTGGTCTCTTTTGTTTCTGGCATTGCTCACAACGATAGGAGTCCTTCACAAATCGCATCACGGCCTCTTTGGCCCGGGCAGCCTTCAGCAAGACTAGCATCTTCTCAGTTGAGATGTGACCTAGGTTGACGTGCAGGAGCTTCACCTTCTTGACTTGATCCGCTGCCAACTGCTCAGCTTGCCTTCTCTCAAGCTCTCCAAGAGGCCTGCGCGGCTCAGCATCGTCTGGTTCATCTTCCTCAACTTGCTCTGCTGCTTCAGTTTCTTCGTCCTCCAAGGTCGGAAAGCTGGAGTCGTAGCAGCTGAGCGGCGTTGAGGAAAGAGAGATGCCCTGCAAAATGATGTGCACCAATTCCGTCGGATAAGCTTGAGCCTTCTTCGGGAGCCCATTCTGAAGAGCCAGATGTTCATGCCCATGGTCACACTGGTACTCGGAAAGCAGAGCAGCCAAGCCAAGGTGGTTCGCGACGAAGGAAGTATCTTTTCGCGAAGGACCTTCGGGGCTAACTCGCAACCCAGTCATGCACTGATGAAATGAAATTCTGATCACCGACTCCTGTTGAAGCAGCCACGCCATGGCGTGAGTTCCCCAGCTACTCGCCGAGGTGGGTTGCTCCTGGCATCCTGCCCCAGTTGGTCTCCATGATGGCGGAGAAGGGTCTGCACTCAGATTACATCAACACAATGTCCGGCTCTTGGTCTCGCATGATTTTCCAGAACTCAGCCCGGTCATGAGCATTGAACACATCCCAGCCGGTCTCTAGATCAAAGGCCGCAGGCCGCGTGCACTGCAACCCATAGGCGGCTGCCAACGTGCTCACTCTGGGCGGCGAAAAAAGCTCCAGCATTTTGTAGGGGCCACCGGCCTTGTTCGCAGTCTCTCCATGGCAAAAGATCCTACTCAAATCTGGAGACCTAATGGGGCACTTGAAACTAAGCCCGGAAGGGCTGGTGACCTGATTCACGCTACACATCCTTGTCTTTCTTGCGGTCCTGGCCTTGTCCGCGGGGCTGGCTGTTTGATTCTTTCTTGTATCTGTTCCCACCTCCGTTCCTGCGTCTCTTGACAGGCTCCCAGGCTCTTGATTCTCATCTTGGTTACAGATCACAAGCTCGCCGCTCGCGACCAATGAATTAATGAACTGCTGTGTGCAATCGTGGTCCTGTCGCGGGTTCAAGTGAATTCGGCCCGATTTCCGTTCTACTCAAAAAACTTTTCACAGTCTCCGTCAAGGAACGTTTCTGGGAGCGGGTCAGCTGGACTTCCCTGAAATCACTGCACTCACCAATGTCGAAATCCATGCGCCAGGGTGGGGGAACAAAAGAAAAGGACTAAGGAGCCTGAAAAGAACTCACGAACCAGCTGACAACTTCCGAACACTCCTTGACCCATTGCAAGTTGGTCCTACCAAGGATGCAGTCTTCCATCTGACGATGCCCCGGGAGATGACCCTGAGTCACTGGGGTGAAGATCGCCTGCTGCTGCTGTACGTTCATCATGATGGCATGCTGTTGAGCCATCCAAGTCTGCATCTGTTGTGGGGCAGCTGAGAAGCTCTGCACCGCCTCGACCACAGGATTGACCATCTGTGTCACGGTGTTGGTGGTGCTCTCCATCAACTGATGCGAGTGATCTTCCATGGCTGCCCTCAACTCCATGGTGGACACACTCGAGCCCGCCGATGAGGCTGCTGCTGCACTCGTGGTAGGGGTCGGCACCGGCAAGGGATACGCCTGATAGGCGATGGCCCTTGCCCCCTTTCGCTGCGCCCTCTTGCCGGGCGGTGGTGCCGGCAGAGATGGTCCGTAGCGTTGAAACTTGATTTTCTGGTAGCAGGTCACGCACCTCTTCCATTCGCCATACTGGTTCCTCCCCGTGGCAATCGAGGTGATTGGGTGAGGACAATTCTTCGGAGGCGGGATGTGCCTTGTGCCCTCTTAAGGCAGTGAAGTCCCGTCTGAGAGAAGAGGAAGTGGAATGTTCCCGGGACCGTACAGTGCTGGTACAACAGCCGCCTGGTCACAAGAAACCACCGATCTGGTGGCGTCTGGCGGCCTTGACCGGATGCTCGACCCGCTCTCTCCTTCGCAGCCGCCATGAGCATGATGATGACATGGTGTCAGCGCGGAATCCGCCATCGTCGAAATCACTGAAACTTTTGAGGCTTCGAGGGAACGGGCACAAGCAGAATCCTCTGAGCGCGCATTAGAAAAAATGGACACAAGGACTCTGGGTTCATCTGAGTTGGCGCTCGTGCTCTGGCTCAAAACTTCAAAAAATCGCTTTCAGACTGCCACTTTTCGTCACGCTTCAACAACTGCAACTGTGGACCTCGAGCCTCAAAAAAACTGACTAACCACGTCGATCGGAACGGAAAAGACTCCTGTGAAACCTGGACACTAAGTGAATCCAAACTGCCATGCGTTTTGCTAGTTTCACGCTTAAGTTGCTGACACAAAGCTGTTCTTCCGTTCATGTCTGACGTTCTGCAAGTCTCCCGTTTAAGCTGCTGACACGTTTTGCAAGTCTCCTGTTTAAGCTGCTGACACCTTTTGCAAGTTTCCCGTTTAAGCTGCTGACACGTTTCGCAAGTCTCCCGTTTAAGCTGCTGACACGTTTTGCAAGCTTCCCGTTTAAGCTGCTGACACAAAGTTGGTCGTCCGTCCAAACTCAACGTCCACCCGTCGAAAGCCTCATGACCTAATGCCTCGAGTTCTCGACAAGTCGAAAAAACGGCCGCCATGTATGAACTCCTCGCTTCGGGGTTGGCAGCTCAAAAGCCTCCTGCACCTCCTTCGGCGCAGGAAAAATGCCACCACCCCAATCTGCTATGTTTAAGGTCCGATGACCAGAAGACAACCGGCCCATATGAGCCTCGGTTCCAAAATTCTTGAAGGTGATCTTGCCGGTGGCGGTGTCGATGACCGATCCGGCGTGCTCCAGCAATCCGATTGACAGGAGGTGTGGCACCTCACCTTCAATGACAACCAACTTGACGATGCCGGGTTGACCGCCAAGAATGCATGGAGAAAGGGCGGTCTTGACAGCCTTGGCGCTTCCACCTACTCCGCTGGCTGCAGGAAGGTCCTCCTTCAGCTCCACAGTCTGAAGGCCAACTTCTTTCAAGCGCTCCTTCAGCTGCTCATAGTGTCTCACTCCGATAAGGTCCTGAGCAGCTCCAGGATCGATGATTGCGTTGCCTGCCGGGATGGTGAACATGTTGAGTTGAGTCTCAAAGAACGAGCTGAAGGCGGACGTGTTGCCTGAACCCAGGTACGCAAAGGCGCTCAGGGGAGCCTTGCTCGCCTGTCCAGGAGTCGACGAGTGCTCACTTTTCTCACGCTCTGACTTCGAGCGATAGGGACGAGTGCAGCCCTCTCGCCAATCACAATTGCTGCACCTGGTGATTTTCTTCAACTCGGCCACTGGAAGGCGACGGCGAGGTGTTGGCCTGTCAGGTCTCGAGTCCTTGTCATCGAAGTGTCGCCTGTCTTTCTTCCTGGCCGCTTTCAACTGCTTGTTCTCACTCCAAGTCCTCTTCTTTCCTGCCTCCCACAGGGCAAGGAAACTCATCACCTGTTCTTCGTCCATGTCCTGGGCGGCAATCTCGGCGCACGGAGCTCTTCATCAGACGAGTCATCAGCTTCTTCGCCAACCGATGCTGGCTCCACATCGAAGTAGGTGCCCTTGTTGGCCTTGAAGAGGGACTCCGTATCCAGATCGATGACCTGCAAGGCCTTCTTCACTCTGTGATAATCGGCTTTTCCTTCCGTGAGGACGCGAAGATTCTGGGCCGATTGTCGCGACAGGTTGGCCTGCTCCTCAAGCATGCAAGCTTTCAGCTCATCAGGGATCTGCAAGTGCTGAGAGGCCATCTGGAACTGAGCGTCTCGTCGAGCCGCGTATTGAGCCAGGCACTCGTCAGAGCGTCTGCTTCCCTCGTAGAGAGCGGCACGCACAGAGCGGCGTTTCTCGCTGTCCTCACGTTCTCCGGCTTAATGTCCAAAATGGCGAGGATCTCCTGCAGGTAGGAGCCACTAGCGAGGTCGGCCTCAGAGAGGTGTTCAAACTTTTCCTGGAGGGTCCACTCCATTCCTTTGAGAACCTTCTCAGCTCTCCGATAGCTCGCTACGTCGGTATTGCGATTCCACCGGAGAATTGCCTTCTTCCACAACCTGTAATGCTGCCATCCAGCCCAGGCGGGAGGTTCAGAGAAGTCTCCTTTGGAGTGTTGCCACCACTTGTCTTGACCCTGACGCCACCCATGACCTGCAGGATCATGAGAGCGCCAAGGGTCTGTCCCCTTGAATCATGACCTGGACGAGATTCAGTCGCCCCCACAGCAGCTCGAGCGTCTCGCTCGACCTGTTCTTCACTGGAGCCCCCAGGTTGGTCCCCCACGGTGCCAGTAGCTGTCTTGCCAGCCCCACCATCCCCTTGACCACTGATTCCAATCCCTCCATTCCTCATCTGTCCACTCATGCCTTGCAGGCATAGCTCTCGCTGGGCGTGTAGCCCTTGGCGTTGCATCAGCATCGCCTGCTGCAGCTGCGAACTCTTCCACTGTCTGCGTCTCCTCGGCAACGGCCCCCAAGCCATGGAGCAAAGCAACCAAGTGCTCCGCTACCACTGACACGAATGCCAGTGGTAGGGAGTGGTCACTTTTGAAACGGAGCGGGCATGGCAACTACAGTAGGCGGAATCGCCGAAGCTTGAGTGCCGGCGAACAACCACAGCTTGATCAACCCTCATGAACAGACAGGAGGTCGCTTTCACTCAGCTTCTTGATACTACTAGTAAGGCACTTGTTACTAGTAGCGATGCATTTGTTCCTAGTAGCTTCTTGTTTCACACAGGCCTACACCTCTGCATGGTCATGCACACAGCACAAAAACGCCACCTACCGCTCTGTGCAATGGCTGAGTCACTCCAGAAAGTGCGAACAATGGGTTCTCTGCGATCTGCCAGGAAATACCTCCCGTTATGGACATGAAGAGAGTAGACCTTGGCTTCGGTGCAAATGATCTCGCTCTTAGGTTGGAAAGATGCCATAACAAGAAGCTACTAGTAACAAAGGGCATCGCTACGAACGGAGCGGCCTTACTAGGAACAAGAAGCCACTAGGAGCTTCTGGCCTTGCTACTAGGAGCGATTGGACGCTACTAGTAACAAGGGCAGGTTGCCCATCGCTAGTGGAGAAGGGCCATGGCTGGTCAACCTCTGGGCCCAAGACACTGAATCACCCAAAGAGCCTCAGCTGACCAAAAGTGATAGGAAATCACTCGCCAAAAAAGTAGCTTCTCGCTACTAACACCGTAAGGCCAGGAGCCCCATTCGTAGCGTCCGATTGCTCCTAGTAGCGATGCCAGGAGCCCCTAGTAGCTCCTTTGCTATAGCCAGAAACGTGTGGAGAACACGTTCAGTGCAGGCAGGCGACCCCACCAAAACTCCAAGGCCACATCACCAGGTATCCATTGATCTTTTGGAATATCCTAGTAGACGAGATCCGACCCGCAGGCCGGCAGCGACAAAGCGGAGTGTTGCACGCGAGTGAAACGTGCGTTAAACATGCACACCAAGGGCATCGCTGCTAGGGGCTCCTGGCCTTACTACCAGGAGCAAGAAGCTACGTTCGGGGCACCTGGCCGTACTACTAGTAGCAAAGAAGCTATTAGTAACAAGTGCATCGCTTCTAGTAACAAGTGCCTTACTAGTAGTAACAAGGACGCTAGTAGTAGCAAGAAGCTACTAGGGGCTCTGGTACCTGGATGCTTTAGATTCCCCCCTTTTATCAAATCCGCTCCCAGTATGAAATATCGCCCGCTGGTGAATTACCTCCAAAAACGGCTAAAGCTCATGTTTAAAGTCAAAGGGAGTGCAGAATGATGCGGAATGCCACTTTCAAGGAGAATGGTCAGCCAGAGCTACTTTGACAGAGCTACTTTGACCCATCGACGTGATCTACATTGCGAGGTCAAACCTCACTCAACATCTGGCAGCTCCAGGCATCGCTACTGGGAACAAGAAGCTACTAGGGGCTCCTGGCATCGCTACTAGTAACAAGGTTCGCTACTAGGGGCTCCTGGCCTTACTACTAGGAGCAAAAAGCTATTAGTAACAAGGGCATCGCTACTAGAAGCAAGAAGCTACGTTCGGGGCTCCTGGCCTTACTACTAGGAGCAAAGGACGCTCAATTCGGGTAATTAGCGACCTTTGGACCTGGCGATGGCCCAAGCGGCTGTCGGCATCGCATATACACTTCTGGTCAATGCAATGAAGTCAGGACGTCGTCATTGCATCTCCACTCGTCAGAACCATTTGTTTCTTAGACTTTTTATTAAAAGCCCGTTGCCTGCCCCCCTACTTAAGGGCTAAGCTAGCTCCTAGGCAGGATGCCATTCATTTGGCTCACGCTTCTTCAAGGAAGCTCTCCACGCTGTTCATTTGCTTCCTAGATGTTTTTGGAAAATCCACTTCGTCTTCAAAGTTGCAGGTGCTTTTAGCTGTTCAACTTGCTGTCACAGCTTTCTGAACTGCTTTCTCGCTGCTCCTGTTTCGGTTCGCCGGGCTTTTTCCGCCCTTTGGCGCCTCCGTCGGTTGTCGTCCAAGTTCATGGGAAGGAGCGAGCGTCATCGTCCGTGTTGGTAACCATTATATAGAATCTTAGAACGATATTCGGGAGCCTGGAAACACCAACACCACTACATGCAACACTGCGTGCGTGCAACAAAAGCGCTTGCAGAGTACGATGTGCGAACAGCTGTGTATTGTCGGGTTTCATGTTTCGTCAAATGAAGCGAGAGGTCTCCTGCAAAAGCACAAGACGTTCGATCGCAGCTTGAGACAATATGATGGCAAAGACCTCACAACGACGCAGCAAGGGTATCAAGGCGAAGCGGCAGCGAAGCGGCGAAGCTATCAGCCTCTGAAACGCCGTTGGCAGGAGGTGATACATACAGAGTGCTACTAGGAGCTCCAGGGCATCGCTATTAGTAACAAGAAGCTACTAGTAGCAAAGGGCATTACTACTAGTAACAAGAGGACGCTACTAGTAACAAGGGCGCCTTTGGTGGCAGGAGGTGATATATCGTTTCAATGCCTTACGTCTGCCATTCAGCAGGCACAAAGAGAGGTACTTCTACCTATTGTTTGTTGGACTGAGGTTCTGACGTACCACAGCAGAACCAAGAGCACCAGTGCCCATACCAATGATTTGAGAGTCACCTAAAGGCAAACTAAAGCAAAGACCGTTCTTCCTTGTCTTTGTTCTTTGTTTCTAATGGCGATGGCCTCCAACCTACTAGCGATGGCCTCCTCCCAAGTTCATTCAGTTTAAGTAGAAAACGATCCTGTCAAATCCCATATATGTCTTTCATGAGAGCTGCAATAATCGAGTGGATCAAGGTCCGGAGTGCCTGCGATGCCAAGCTGTAGCAGCTAGAGTGAGGCAATGGCCAAAGACATTTCTGTTGCATCACAAGTGTAAAAAGTCATCGCTAGTAGATTGGAGGCCATCGCTAGTAGGTTGAAGGACATCGCTAGTAGGTTGGAGGCCATCGCTCTTAGGTTGGACGCCATCGTAGTAGGCTGGAGTCCATCACTAGTAGGCCATCGCTATTATTAGGTTGGAAGCCATCACTAGTTGGTTGGAGGCCATCGCTAGTAGGTTGAAATGCTTCGGTGCAAAAGAAGTCACATGGCATTCACGTTGTCACAGTTCTCACCGCACCTTTAGCCACATCATCAGCTTCGCAATGCGTGTCACACGAATGAGCCGACTGATGCGAATCCTAAGACAAATAAAATACAAATCAGCATCATTCGGATTGGACCAGCTTTCAGATACTAGGGGCTCCTGGCCTTACTACTAGTAACAAGAACGCTACTAGGTGAACTCGGTTTTTTTCTGCTGAAAACCATGGTTCACTCCATTTGGCCCAAAACACTGCATCTGGTGTCTGCGAACAGGATGCCACATGCGCTGCTTCGATCAACCCCTTTACAGGCCCAGTAGCACTCTCATGATCCGAATAGCGGATAGTCCAGAGGAAGAACTTCCAGTCGCATCCTCCTGCAAAAAGGACGCAGCCAAGAGTTTCAAAAAGGGCTGGCTCCTTCGAGTTTAACATCCCACCTTGCTCTCCTGGATGCTCCATGCCAAAGCAACGTCAATAAAGGAAGAAACCTCAGTGGAAGAAAGAAAGGTCCAAAGAACAAAACAAGGGAAAGACGTCCATTGTTTGTTTCCCGAACAAAAGGTAATGTTGAACATGTGAGATTGGACTCGGCACAGGAAAGCTATTCAATTTGGTTCCTAGGTATTTGGAGAAACTTAACTTAGCTTTAACTACTAGCGTGGCACTTGTTACTAGTAGCTTCTTGTTACTACTAGTAAGGCACCTGTTACTACTAGCGTGGCACTTGTTACTAGTACATACATTGTGTCTATGTGTCCTTGTATTTCATGAGTCATTTGTTTCTGTTCTTTCAACAGTGCTATTTGTGAATGCACAACAGGAGCGCTCAAGGATCTGGCAACGATGATGAAATCCAGGCAAGTCCAACGGAACCTCACGGCCCAAATTGCGGCAGGTATGGCTAAGCTATTGAATTAGAAGACCCTTCTTCCTGTTCATTTTTCTGTGTTTCTAACAACGATGGCCTCCACCCTAGGCCCTAGGTATGGTCAAGCTATTTATTCTTGCTCAAGGCTTGTTTGTCTTGTTTAACCTCCTGTGCGGCATGAAACCCGGCAAACCCCCTGAAGTCTCCACCCAGGTGGAATTCAACCCGATGGGAGCCGGAGTTCAGAGGGGGTCCACAAGACAAAAACCTGCTTCAAGTGTTTTTTTAAGGTAGGTCTTGGGTCCAAGGACACCATAAGATCCACAGTATGAGCCAAGAAGGCAGAAACGGCCAAGAGTGGAGGGAACGCCAAGGCCTCTTAGTGATCACTGGTAGGAGCGGAAGCCGAAAGGCGACAAAACACCGACACCACGGTGTCTTTCTGGCGAGACTGAACCAAAGGTGACCGACTAGACGGCAAAAAAAATTACAGAACGGTTCCTTCTCGGTGTCCTTTGATTCTTTTCTGTATCCTTCCTTTTTCTTTAGACCTTTTGTTTTAATTGCCGTTGTTTCTTTCTTCCTTGCCACAAGAAACAATTTAAGAGTGAGTGAAGAGCAATTCAGAAAGTGTTGCAGGCAGAGGCCCAAAGGCGAGACCAATCAAAAAGATGAAGGAAGCGGAAAGCATTTGAGTCAAGAGAAGCATCCCAAGACAGAATGCACAAAATAAGTGCTCTAAGGGCTGGAAAAGGAGATGACTTGATGACGTCTGTCTTTTTTCCCTTTCACCTCTTTCCTCCGTTGCTCTCCCTCTCTCTGATTCTTTCTTTTTATATTGTTCTTTTTTTCTCTAGCCCTCTAGCCCTGTTTCGTCCTCTTTTCTATCGTCTTTTTTCATTCTGCTGCTTTTTCCCCACCCGTAGGACTGTGGGGTTGTTAGATTTTTAGAACTTTGGACTTCAGTACGCCCGGTAGCCCAACTTAGCTCTTCCACAGCACACTGGCCAAAGTGACCCCTGAGTAGCGCAACTTAGCTCTTCCACAGCACACTGGCCAAAGTGATCCCTCAGTAGCGCAACTTAGCTCTTCCACAGCACACTGGCCAAAGTGATCCCTGAGTAGCGCAACGTAGCTCTTCCACAGCACACTGGCCAAAGTGATCCCTGAGTAGCGCAACTTAGCTCTTCCACAGCACACTGGCCAAAGTGATCCCTGAGTAGCGCAACGTAGCTCTTCCACAGCACATTTACCGAAGTGATCCCAGGATAGTTGTAGAGTTGTAATGTACTTATCAAGACGGTTTTTTTTTTCGGTGGCGGCTGTTGTCGTTGGCGCGGGCGAAGCTGCTGGCAGAGCACTTCACAACTTGCGTGTGGATGCTCAGATTTTTCCCCACCCGTAGGACTGTGGGGTTGTTAGATTTGTAGAACTTTGGACTTCAGCACGCCCGGTAGCCCAACTTAGCTCTTCCACAACACACTGGCCAAAGTGGTCCCTGAGTAGCGCTCTTCCATAGCACATTGGCCAAAGTGGCACAGCACACTCACCAAAGTGGTCCCTGAGTAGCCCAAAGTAGCTCTTCCACAGCACACTGGCCCCTAAGTAGCCCAACTTAGATCTTCCATAGCACACTGGCCAAAGAGGTCCCTGACTAGCGCAACTTAGCTTTTCC